TCAGACACTAAAATATTTTCTATACGGGTTGAGGAGCAACATTAAAATTGATCATCATGTACATTGTTACTGATTTTTTATCTATAGCAAAGATTTCGACCTACAAATATTTCAGATTTAGGTTTTGTCTTCTTGTGCTTTTATTTTGGTGTCCGTCTTGTGTTCCTGTTTGTGCCTCTCAGGAATTCCCCTCCTTCAGGTCCCTCCTCTATCCCATTATTACTCAACTCCATGCACCTGTGTTTCTGAGTCCTGCTTCCTTTTCTCTGACCACACACTCCTCTATAAAAGCTTCTCTGTATTTCACTCCATGCCAGATCCTGTTGTTGTACCGTCAGTCCTCAGTCATACCTTGTTCTAGTCTCAACGTGTTTGTCTCTGGTCTTCTTTCCTCATCTATTTCTCTGTATGTTTCTCTTTTGTTTTAGTTGTCGGTTTTTTTCATTGTTTAATTATCATTTTTGGTCCAGCTTCTGCTGTGCCTTTTGTTGTTGTTGTTTTTCTGTAAATAGATTACTTTTCATAGTTTCCTTTGCTCCTTCCTGTGTTTCCCTCCCTGGGCGGTGCATTTAGATCCTTTCAGATTACGCTGTGTGATAAATCTTTAAATTCAAACTGATGAAATTATTCTCATTATTACCAATATGATGAAAAGAACCTGCACTCCAACTGAGATCTAATTCTGGACAGCCCCTATCAAGTTCATGTCTGAATTGTAGAATGCAAACTCTGCTTTTTACCACACTCCACAGTACAACAGTGACACACTGTAGGCAGACAAAACCAGTAAAACAGGTTCTCTATAGAGTCCTGAGTGAAGAGTCCCTTAATTTCTTCATGCTTTCATTTCCTAAAATAAATGCAAAAACATATTCCACTTAATGTGGGTTTTTTCTGAGCTTTTCTGTGGACACATTAATTACAGAAGCTTTAATATCAGACTTCGTTAGCTACCGAACAGCTTCCTTTAACTTCCTCTCAGTCACATTGGTCCAGGCTCAGAAATGATGAAATTACTTTATAGGACTTTATAGTTACCTGTTATTTGTTACAGGACTGTGCTCATTTGAATGATATATCATACATTTTAATTAGAGTAATTACATATCACAAATGAAAAACATGAAAGAACTTCAGTAATTGAAAATCTACTGAACATTTCATCAACAATCTTTTACTTCTGGAAAACAAGCTTCTGAGGTTGAAGAGAGGATGACTGAAAGATTTTCACTTGATGTCAACACAATAAACATTATTTTCATAGTTTCCTTTGCTCATTCCTGTGTTTCCCTCCCTGGGCCTTGAATTTAGATCCTTTCAGATTACGCTGTGTCGTATTCACAGGCTAATCTAACAATAAATTCACAAATCTTTAAATTTAAACTGATGAAATTATCATCATGTTTTACCATTGTGATAAAAAGAACCTGCACTCAAACTGAGATCTAATTCTGGTAAGCCCCTATCAAGTTCATGTCTGAATTATTGAATACAAAACCAGTAAAACAGGTTCTCTATAGAGTCAAGAGTGATGAGTGCTTTCATTTCTTAATGCTTTCATTTCCTAAAACAAGTGCAAAACAAATTCTACTAAATGTGAATTTTTTCTGAGCTTTTCTGTGGACACATTAATTACAGAAGCTTTAACATCAGACTTCTTTAGCTACCAAACAGCTTCATTTTAGAGCCCCTCAGTCACCCTAACCCGTACCTCTACCCCCCAACAGCTCCTTCTGTAGTCCCTCTACCTCTATCTCTATCTCACCACTGACTCTGATCAGTGTTTCTCCTCTATATAGCTTATTGTCATAGTGATGAGAAATGTAATATTGTGTCTACTCTGTAAGTCGCTTTGGATAAAAGCGTCTGTCAAATGCATAAACATAAACATAAACATAAACATTGGTCCAGGCTCAGAAATTATGAATTGTTGACTTTCTAGTTACCTGTGATTTGTTACAGAACTGTGCATGTATTTCACATTTTAATTTGATTAATTAGGCTACATATCACAAATGAAAAACATGAAAGAACTTCAGTGATTAAAAATCCAACAATCTTTTTCTTTAGTAAAAGAAGCTTCTGAGGTTTAAGAGTGGATGACTGAAAGATTTTTACTTGATGTCAACACAAAAACACATTATTCACTCAGGAATCTGCCATGTTTATCTCATGATAGACAAAGAAAATGGTTGAGGCAGAAAAACCGGAAAACAGATCTGCGCATTCAGCTCTACTTCAGACTTTACCAGGATAACCTGACAGAAACATGTCAGACTTTGAACCCGGTGGTCACTTCAACTATATCTAGTTAAGGTAAAAAGAAACAAACTTTGATCATTACTGTTGCAGTACCTTGTTTTTCTCCAGAGTGAAGTGCGTCAAAGCGATCGAGACTGAAGTGAAACCATCTCTCTCTCACTGCTGTCAAACCAGTTCATGGGCGTGTTCATGTCTTATCCTGTTTTTCTCCGGAGGGAAGTGCGTCGCAGCGATGAACTAAAGTAAACCTCTCATGCAAAAGTCAGTTGAGTAAGAATGCTGTCAAACCAGTTCATGGGTGAGTTCATGTCTTAGGTTTGAAATACTTTCGTATTCATCTGTCATTTCATATTTAAAGTTTTTAAACAGCCAGATGGTGAAAGAGCTTTTATTCTAATCAGGATGAGAAAGTTTTTTAAGTGGTGAGATATATTTCTCATTTGTTCATTGAACTGTATATCTTACATTTTCCTGCATAAGCAAACTCAGTACTGTATACTGAACTGAGATCTTTTCAGATGGGTTTGAGTTAATCATGTACAAGAGATAGTCAGAGCATCTTTCCCAATGTTATTTTTCACTTAAACTCACACATTAAGTAGACACTTTTATCCAGAGAAGCTTATAAAGATGGCAGATAAATGCATTGATTTTCATGTTTTACTAAGAAGTCTGAACAATTCCGCTGAACAAAATGCCTTATCATAGTTCATCATATGCAAATTTACTATAAATTATTTATTTAGCTGGTAGTCTGTAAAGAGAATCACTGAGAGAGGTAACAACTGACTGTGGAGAATTTATATCTTTACATCTGTGTTTTTAAGATTAAATGATAGATCATATTCTGATTTTGAAATGAGTGCTTGAGGCTAAAAGTATTACTTTGTGGCAAATTTTAGTTAATGAAATCAGCCATAATTTGTGGATGAAAAGAAATTAATTTAGTCCTAAATTAAATTGTAAATCAGATAAAGGCATGTGTTAGAGCATATAGATAAAGACAAAAACAAATTAATATTGACTGCATTTTTTTATTGGAACATCCACATACATGAAGGACAGTCGAGAGAAACTTCCACATATGCCACCTTTTAATTTTATAAATTGCTGTTGATGGTCATTTTGACACCTTGAAACAAAATATCTTTCTAGCTTCATTGTAGACAAAGTTCTTTTGTTCATGGTCTTCTAATAAAAGGAAATAATGAAAGAAGAAGCCACCTGTATTACTGATGACTGTGTTGGAAAAACTGGGGGATAATCTGGGGTTAGTTACATCAACAATAGAACTGAATTTCGCTAAAATGAAAATACACATAGAGCAATAAGTGATGACAGGTAAAAAGTGTCTATAGTTGACCTAAGTATTTAAAAAAGGTTTATTTTGTTTAACTTTGTTTTACATCTTATTATGTAGATATATTATTTTGGTCAATACATTTCAGGTGTTAACATTTTTTGCACGAAAATCTGTCTAACGTGACTTGAATGAAACATCACATACAGCAGAATTACAAGTAGAATGGTCTAAATTCATTATAATGTGTAACATACATAAGGAAATATAACTGAATATACTCTGATGGATATATAATATAGTAAAATGAAAAAAGTATATATTTAAAGTTAAATGCTTATAGATATATATATATATATATGAACTCTTCCTAATTATTTTCACATGTTTTACGGAGTGTCATTCCAAAATTACTCCTATTTGATGACAAAAATGTGAATTGTAAGAGATATTCCACATGTGTCTCTGCCAGGACACATGATGAGGAAACATGTTCTCAGTTTAAATCCTTGAGTCTGTTTTTAAATCTGACACAAGGACACTGAGCACTTATCCTGCCGAGGCTTCAGCCTGAATGCCGGGTAGAGAGGTTCAGTGAATGTGGTGTGGAGGGTGTGGAGGTGGATCAGTTTTTCTGAAGTTACACTGTAAAATGACAGAGTGTTAGCAGGCCAGTCCAGGTACACCCCCACTCTGCTGGAGGGGGGAGCATAGATTGGTGTTCTGTTGTTGTTGTGCTGAAAAGACCATCCACGATCAGTGCACCTCAGACTCCAGGACTGGTCATTTTTTCCCAGACAAGCATCATCAAGCTTTCCTTTTCTTCTAATTCCTTTGTAAGTCACAGCAATTTGAACTGTTCCTTCCCACTCAACTTCCCAGTAACAGCGGTCAGCTGTTGACAGACCATGTGTGCCCATCACCTGGTTCCAGAAGTCAAATCTCTCTGGGTGATCAGGATATGGGTGCTGATATGACATCAATGAAACTGTTTTGTTGTTCTCGGACAACTTGAGTTCGCCGTGCAACGTCGTTGGGTCCAGAGAAAGTTCACAAGCATCTGTCAAAGAATGGAGACATTTGAGAAATAGATATACAAGACGAGGCAAATACTGCAAAAGGTGCGTCATTCAGAATACACAACATATAACATTTCAAAGTAAAATATATATATGTTTTTTTTAATTGTATCTCTGTTAGAAAAAGCCATTTAGGTTGCCCTTTTTTACCATTAAACTGTACCTTATGTGGCAAACATGTACTACTGCTGCAGTACTTACAATAAAGACAGTGTTTCTAGAATTTACAAAATATTCTGTATCACATTTATGATGCAGCAGAGTTTTTAAGGAGTTTAGTTTACACTATTTGGAATAAAAACATTCAATTATGCCTTATAATAAATTTTCTGACTTGTCATCCTGAATAAAAAAGCTCACTTACATTTCCTGAGACCGGGTTTCATTGTCTTTGCTTCATTGTGATCCACTCTACAAAAAAAAAGGTAATAAATGTATCTAAAGTCATTTATTTTTTGCATATGTATGCATAATCTAAGTATATTAGTATATGGATACTGTTTAATGGTGATATTGTGTTTCAGCAAATCTCAATCATCTGTGTGACCATTTAAGAAAAAAAAATTGAGTTGTTGTTCATACTTGAGGACTTTCAGTCCATAACTTGCAGCAGGTTTCTTTCCTGAGTCTCCAAAGTGGTTGTAACTGAGGTCCAGCACCTTCAGATTGGAGGGCTTAGATCTCAAAACTGAATCCAGAGCAGCCCAACCTTCCTCAGTGATGAGACAGCCTGACAGCCTGCACACAAATAAATTGACATAAGATATCTAAGTCTAAAATGTGGTGGTCAAAAGGTCAACTTCAACTTCCCCTCATTAGTTGGAGATCTGAACCCAACAAATTAATACTTTCACATTCAATTAGGATAAAAAAAGGGATTTCAGATCGACTACAAGCTGTAAAAAAGGTGGTATAAGTAATATTAGACTTGTGACTTTGTTTTGGGCGATGTAGTGTAACATGTTTGTTTTGTGGAATAAATGTCTAAATAAAGGGTTTGTATTGTTTTCTGCAGTCTGAGTGCTGACCGTAGGG